CAGCCTGCCTGGCATGTTTGTACAAATACTGTGATTTACGGAGAGCATGTGTTCTCCTTCTGAAAGTCTGTAATGCTGGCAGGCATGTCCCTGCTGAAGGAAGGAGCAAGATCAGTGTGGCCCTGGGAAGCAGAACAGAGGAAGCCTGGGCCCGGATTCTCCAGATATCACCTTATATGTCTTTCTCCCTTGTGGTTCCTTCTCTGTATCCTTTAACTGTCACAAATCTTAACCATGCGTCCAACTATATGTTGAGTCCTCCCAGTACATGTGGGTGGTCATAGGCTCTCCAAAAACAAAAGAAAAAAATTCACAGAGGTATACAGTGTGACTCTAATTTCATAAATCTAATAACCTGAGGAATGGGAGAGTTGAGTTGTTGACATGGCCACTCAGTAGGTGAAAGAGCTGGGAACTAAATCCTGCCTGTCTCCGTCCAAAGATCATGTTCATTCCAGTGTGTCAGGCATCCACACCTGATTATACACATTCTGGGCCAAAGAAAACTTTCTAAGGCACAATGACTGGTAGCTATGGGTGGCTATGCAACTTTGGTTAAATATCTAAGAAGGCTTTTGAACTTCAGTTATATTACTGTAAAATTATTATAATAATAATACCAATGTCATAGAATTGCTTTGAAGACTTAATATGATTATATATGTCATATATGTGAAGCATATACATATTAAATATATAATATATTAAAATCTATAAATTATTTAGTCCAAACCTTGTTTGAAAATGTAAATCTCAATGAATGAAACAACTAGATAAAAATGAACATACATGGCCAACATATATATATATGTACATGTATACATACACTTGCATATATTGATACATACATGTGCATACCAGTTAATTAATCATCTAACTAGTTCTGCATTAATTATAGAGCATCATTCATTATTTATAAATGAAGCTAGTTACAATTTAATAAGTGGGTCTGATTTTACATCTGCTGGTTTCAATCTAAGGAACCACTCTTACTCAGAAATCTACTCAAAGTCTTTTTTTTTTAAATATATTTTTATTGATTTCTTACAGAGAGGAAGGGAGAGAGATAGAGAGCTAGAAATATCAATGAGAGAGAAACATCGACCAGCCGCCTCTTGCACACCCCCCACCAGGGATGTACCCACAACCAATGCACATGCCCCTGACCGGAATCGAACCTGGGACCTTTCAGTCCGCAGACCGACGCTCTACCACTGAGCCAAACCGGTTTGGCTACTCAAAGTCTTAAGGATGATTTTCTTTAATGCTTAACCTGTGAAATTAATCATTAACTGGACATTTCAGAGCTTTGCTTAAGACACTACATGGCATTCATCATTAGCTCTAATATAAAATATGTGGTAGCCACATTTGCCTAGCTTATAGTTAGAACTTGAGATCTAGCAATGAATGACTGTTCTGGGAAACTGGAACTCCCTTAGAAACTCCAACTTCTATATGGAGAGAATATTCAATCCTCCTAAAACCAAGGAAAGCAAACTTCTGTGGTTAAGATCTGCTACCAATAATGCCTGATTCTATCCTTTCCATTGTGGTTTTATGGCATTTATGTTTATAGCCATTACACACTTATACTTAATTGAAGTATAATTACTCACTCTTTGGAAATCATTCGGAAACAATTCATGTCATCCTCTATCTTCTCTCTGAAGTCGAGATGTGCAATATTAGTCAGTAAATTGTAGCAGAAAGGGTTGGTTTCCTCCTAAAATTTGGTGCCACCAAGTTTTCTTTCTGGAGCCAAAATGACAGAACTAACTCCAACCCAAACACACCATTTTTCACTGTGGAAAACCTCCATCATCCCAACCAACTCTGGTTCACATGTATTAGCAGTAATATCCATTTGGAAATTCCTACCCAATTGGCCTCATACAAATTATGTAACCTACATAGTGTCTTTGTTTCCTTATCTGTAAAATGAAGATGATAGAATACCTGCCCTATAATTGTGTACTATGTTGTGCATGTAAAAGCTTGTTAAGAGGATTGGCCTCATGTTAGATGTTCTTAACACACACACACACACACACACACACACAAATTTAACAACAACAAAAATAATATCTGCCTCAAAAAGTTTAATAGGTTTAAATAAGTTAATATGCATAAAAATTATTAGAATAGTGCCTGACATAGTATTGAATGAGTGAATGAATGAATGAATGAAAAATATATAATATATCTTCTTACAGTTCTCTAATCACTTCTATATTCATCTTATTATATCCCCCAAAGACTATAAACTGTTTAAGACCAGGTACCACACTGGCACTATATTTTTCTACCTACCTTCCACCTGCAGTGAACTTAACCCAGTAGTTGACATATTAGGTCATAATAAACAGTTATGAGTTTGACCAAGCAATATTGAATAGGAGTAAACCCCCAAATGCACCAAGTGCCTTTCTAACCAATGCCACCAGATCAGTGGCTTTCAAAATACTTGACCCCAACACAGTTTTTATGGTGCTACTCAATACACACATGAACATGTCTATATGCTTATAGAGTGTATATTTAACTGAAATTAAAGTTTTGCAAAAGAGTACTTAACTTTACTACATAAAATAGGCTCTGATATTTTCTAGTTAAACCCAGTTAAATCCAGTTTAGGGCATCTCAAACTTTCATGGGCATTCAAATCACTTGGAGGTCATGCTAAAATATAGGTCAGATTCAAAGAGTCTTCATTTCTATTATGCTCCCCGTGACACTCTAGTCCATGGACCACACTTTGAGTAGTAAGAGTGTAGTCTAGTCTATTTAAAATAATTTTTATTGCTGGAATGTCTTTCTAAATTTATTTCATAGCCTAATTTTAAAAAAAAAGAGTTGCAATCTGCTGTTTGTAAAACACAGCTCCAAGTAATTTCAAAAGTTTCTTAATCTCTCTCTAAAATTCCACTGTTATCTTCCCAGCCTTGGGAATAGCGCCCCCCCCACCCCACTATAAGCCTCCCCCCACAGAAGAGGGAGCATGGAATTCAAAGGAAGAATGTCTCAAGTATTAAAGTATTATCTTTCATCCTGGCTTAGGCTGAAATGCCTATCTTATTCCCAACCCTTTTCTCACCATTCTGAGCCTACACCTTGCCGTTATGTTAATAAATGTTAGAGCACTTATTAAAAACAGAACACTGAACATTATTTTATATCTAATCCCACATACTCCTGGAACCACTCTATGCAGGGATTCCCATTTCACAGATGACAGGAGGTAAGTAGATAATAACTGGTGGAGCTGAGGTCCCAGATATTATGTTCTTGTGACAGCCAGCCTCTAAGATGGTTCCAGTGATCCATCCTCCTGGGGTTCACACTAACCTGGTAAGCAACAGAGTACTGAGGAAGGGACAGTGTGTGACTTTCTAGGCTCAGTTAGAAAACACTTTGGCTTCTGTCTTGCACTCTGTTGGACAACTCCCTCTAGAAGAAGCCAAGTTGCCATGTCACGAGAATTCTCAAGCAGCCTTATGAAGAAGTCTACATAGCAATGGACTGACACTTCCTGCCAACAACCAGCACCAACTTGTTAGGCACACAAGTGAGCCACTGTGGAAGCAGATCCTCTATCCAGCCTGTCAAGCTTTCAGGTAGCACCACTGATATCTTTTTCTTATATATATTTTTTATTGTTGATAGTATTACAGATATCTCACGTTGTCCCCTCCTTTAACTCCCTCTTCTCAGCCCCTACTCTCCCCTCCTTCGTCCTGAGGTCTATTGCCCATGTCCATGGGATATGCATATAAGTATATAAGTTCTTTGGTTTATCTCTTCTTGTCCCTGCAACCCCACATCAAGGTATGTCAGTCTGTTCTATGCCTCCATGCTTTGGATCTTATTTTGTTGGTCAATTTATTTTGTTTGTTAGATTCCACAAATAAGTGAGATCATGTGATATTTGTCTTTCTCATATTGGCTTATTTCACATAGCATAATATTTTCCAGATCCATCTATGCTGTCCCAAAGGGTAAGAGGTCCCTCTTTTTTATAGCTGCATAGTATGCCAGAATATAAATGTCCCACTGATATCTTGACTACAACCTCATGAAGACCTCAAGAGAAATCCACCCAGCAAAGTCACTCCCAAATTCCTGATCCACAGAAACTGTGAAAAATATTATTTCCTATTATTTTCTGCCATTAAGTTTTGGGATCATTTCCTATGCAGCAATAGATAACTAATATAGTTCTTAGCCATAGGTTATATTGCATCATTATGATTCAGCCCGAAAAAGAAAGTGAAAGTTTTATGAAGGTCAATTGGATTACTTCTTCACTGTGGCAGCTCATACCATGCATAGTTGATTTTCTTTCTTTTTAAATTTAAAATGTATTTTTCAATTAAGTTTACATTCGTATTATTTTGCATTAATTTCAGGTATACACCATAGTGGTTAGACAATCATATACTTTACAAAGTGCTCCCCCTGATATTTCCAGTACCCACCTGGTATCATGCATAGTTATTGCAATATTATTAACTATACTCCCTAAGCTGTATTTTGCAACCCAGGACTATTTTGCAATTACCAATTTGTACTTCACATTTTCCACCCAGTTCCCCCAAGCCCCTTCTCCATTTCAGCAAATTTTCATTCTCCCTTTGCAAGCAACATTGTGAAAGGCATTAATTCCCCTTCAGACCTGACCAGCTTAGATCCTGTGTAGTCAATGGGAATATGGGATTAGTAATGTTAAATCATATCGAATATAACTTTTTAGAGATGCTACAAGGATATGCCTGCCTCTTTAGCTTCTGCCCGCATTTGTAAAAACAATATATCCCAAAGAGTGGAATTTCCTTTAAGGTCCCAAAATGGGATGGCATGGAACTTTATCTCTAGCTAAGCCGAGCCCAAGCAGAGGCACAGTTGACTTATAGACCTATGAGAAGTAAATGTTTATGGTGGTAATCCACAAGATTTCAGGTTTGCTTGATACCACAGCAAAAACTGACCCATGCACTCACCATGCTGTATGATGCCATACTCCATAAGCCGGTGGCATAGTTGCTCTGCCTCTTTCCTTGTGGTGGCCTCTCCTTCCTGAACCAGCCAATCCAGGAATTCAGATGCCATGAAGGTGCGCTCATACTTGACCCCCTCCTCTTCCCGGGGCTGCAGGAGTGTGTTTTCAGGGCTCATCAGCCTGAGAGGGAAAAAGGAAAAAAATAAACATATACAAAAGGAGAAGAGTTCATTTGAAGTCCTACATCCTAGGCTTCTGTGAGACATCACAGCAAAGTTGTCAGACAGACAGATATGGCTGTCATGTGTTGCCACAACTGTAATTTTTAAGAGAAGGATCTGCTTCAGATGTGAACAAGATGCTTTCCTCCTAGTATAATAATTAGAAGAAAAAAAAGAAAGGAAAAAAAAAAAAAACACCTGAAAATGCCATAGAACTTTAGCATTAACAAATTGCATTCGGTTTTACAATTTACTGATCAAGTCCCACCCTACCTTTCTTCAAAGGCTTTAGCCCATTTCTTTCCCAAAGGCATTAGCCCATTTCCCAAACTGATGTTCCATATTGCTGTGGACTGAAGGTCTGTGTCTTTCTAAAATTCATATACTGAAATGGGAATGCCCAGTGTGATGGTATTTAGAGATGGGACCTTTGGGAGGTGATTATTTCGTGAAGTCAGGGCTCCCATGATGAGATTACCATCCTTACAAGAAGAGCTACAAGAGCCTGGCCAGACAGCTCAGTTGGTTAGAGCACCATCTCAACATGCCATCACTGTGGAGTCAATCCCTGGTCAGGGCACATTCAAGAATCAACCAGGGAATGCATAAATAAATGGAACAACAAATCAATCTCTCTCTCTCTCTCTCTCTCTCTCTCTCTCTCTCTCTCTCTCTCTCTCTCTCTCTCTCTCTCTTTAACACACACACACACACACACACTGGAAAGAAATAGCTATAAGGCTGCTTTCCCAGGGTTAGTAACAACTGAGTTGGTGTGAGCAATAAGAATTATATTTAATATAATAATAACCAGGCCCTTCTTAGAAGATGGAAAGGACAACTGTTACATATGCATCAACACAAGTGACAAAATCATAAGACATTCTCTAGTCTCTTGCTTCTTTCCAACACGACTTCACTGCTTCTCCCATCAAGAGACTGAGTCTACTTCTCCTTCCCTTGAACCTGGGCTGGCTTTGTGAACTGCACTGAACCTGCAGCTCCCACCTTCACCCCTTGTAATGCCATGATGAGACCACCTTGTAAGAAAGCAAGTCCCACCTACTGGAGGTAAAGAGGTCACAGAGAGAACTGAGATGTTCAGGCAATAGCCAGCACCTATTCTTGGACATGTAAATGAGGCTATCCAGACTTTCCTGCCCAGCTGACTCTCCAACACCATATGAATGAGCCCGAGATGAAAGCAATAAGGTAAACAACACAGAACCCACAGAATCCAGAGAAATAATACGTAATTGTTGCCTTAAACTACTAAGTTTGGGAATGATTTGTTTTATAGGAAGAGATAACATTCATACCAATGAGCAATGGCAAAAAGATGTAAAAACAAAACAAAACAAAAAAAAAAAAACACACACACACAGAAAAAGAGACACATCATACCACTCAAAAAGTACTGAAAGAACAATGAACAAATACTGGAATGTTCTGCACCAATCAAAAAGAATATATGCATCCTTACGTTCATAGCAGCACAATTTACAATAACTAAGATTTGGAAACAGCCCAAGTGCCCATCAGCAGATGAGTGGATGAAAAAGCTGTGGTACATTTACACAAAGGAAAACTATGCAGCTATAAAAAAAGAAGAAACTTTTATCATTTGCAACAGCATGGATGGACCTGGAGAGTATTATGCTAAGGTAATTAAAGCAGTTTGAGAAAGATAAGTATCACACGATCTCACTCAGATGTTGAATCTAATGAACAAAATAGATCCAGAGACATAGAAGCTTGAAACAGACTGTGGAATCTCAGAGGGAAGGCGGGGGTGAGATGAGGAGAGATTAAACTGGGAATTTATATGCATATACTAGTATGTATAACCCATGGGCACAGATGTAAGTTTGGTGAAGGCCTGGGAGGGGCAGGTGCAGGGTTGAAGGGGTCAATGGGAAAAAACACACAAGGGGACATCTTTAATACTTTCAACAATAAAGGTAGATTTTAAAGAAAAGAAGACAATACTGGAAAGTTCTGGAAATAAACAGCATGGAATAAAGCCACATAGAGGTACACCTGGAGCCTACATTGGAAATGGGACTCTAGAAAGGAGAACTGAAGAGCCCATTTATATGCCCAAATAGGAATACCACCATTTCTTCATTTCTTTTGACCCTCAAATAAGGTATTTTGGAGTGAAACTAGACTAAAATTAGCCTCCTAAGATTTCCAGTTTCATACATTATTTCCTCTAAGAAGCTGTCTCCAATTCCTCAAATATGGACCACATGCCCCTTCCAAGTCCCTTTTCAGAGCCCTAGGAGAATAACCTACTCATAATTGTAAGCTTTTAGACAAAAAGGTTTACAGATGTTTCTAGCACAATAGGTGCTCAAAAAGTATTTCCTGAATGAACGAATAAAACTCATTTCTATGCATTGCCCTGCTATGCATTATTCTCTAAGAGAATAATTAAAAATGACCCACCTAGGATGACCCTGTGTGGAGGTGAGATGAATCAAGAGTCTCCACCTTAGCAATTTAAGATTCAGACACAGATGCCTGGCTTTTATCTCTGTTTTTAACCACTCTTCCAGGTCAGCGATTTTCCTTTCAGGGTGTCGAGAGGACAAGAGGATGCAAGTTTACTGGTGTCACTTACTATAATCAGAAACATGACCTGTCAGTTCTCTAGAGCTCCTGCTAAGTAGCTGGTGGCCCCCAGACAAGTGGTTGGTCAGCTGCTGCTGCCAAGAAAAGAGCCCAGTTGGCAGGCCTGCCTGGATTAGCTCAGCTTGCCACATTATTAAAACACACACCACCACCCTTCGCTCTTCCTTATTTCATTTCCTCTTAAAATCAAGTCAGGTTCCTCTCTTATAGACAAAGCCTTTCATGGGATTTGATTTTAGTATTCATATGTAGTCACAGTGTTAAAGTAAGAGTTTGATTTAGTACTTGTTCCAATTATGTTAAAATAAAGCCTTATAGTAGCTAGTCTCCAGAGATGGCCCCAAATATTTCCACTTTTTCCTAAATGTGCATATTAGTCTTTCCATGAAGAGATGGTGCATGTGGTCCTCCCCTTGAGGCTGCTATGTTTGGGGCCATCTCTGGAGACTAGCTACTATAAGGCTTTATTTTAATTTGTCAACTGAAAAGCAATTCCAGGATGCATAGCTCATTCACAGTTTTATGTTGTCTCTTCCTCATTTATTTAATATTTTTTTTACTTTACTTAAGTGTGGGATAGTTTGAAAGGCATGCAATCTAAAGGCCAACATAACTTCAAATCCTAACTGCACACTTATTAGCTAGATGACTCTCTTTTCCAAGTGTAAGATGGAGATAATAGCATGCATCCTTGAACAGTTGTGTAGCTTAAGTGTGATAGTGCAGGAAAGGCTTCAATCATGGTCCCGGTACACCATATACACTGAATACACTTCAGCCATGATGAAGATGGTGATGAGGATGATGGTGATGGTAATGATAAAAAGCTTTCTAGATGGAGCCATTATTCAATAAAGCTAAACACCTTTTTTGTGACAAAATGAATTAAGATTATGTGTGTATTTCCATAGACAAGATCAACAGTTCCATTTTAATTAGTCATCAGAAATGTGTGTGTTGTTCTGAAACTCTTAGATTTGATGACACAAATTTATCTTTAGTCAAAATTGTCCTGTGCTGGCCTATCATCATGACATAAAGCCACAGGCTTTTCAAGGTGTCAGACATGAACACTACTCACCTCCTGCAATACTAACCAGATGTTGAGCGGGTGCATGTGAACTGACCGCAACCTTTCCTGGATATACGTGACTAAGATTTCCCAGACTCTCTTTACCCGGGGGAAGGCAGCATTACAATAGAAGGAACTGCTGCGTTTAGGGGCCAGTACAGGAATAGAAAGAAGCTGATAGTGATCTCCTTGTACATTGAAAAAAAAATTTTCAGGAGAGCTGAAAAGGCCATATATAACGTGGGAACATTTGTGAATGGTATACAAGGACATGAGGTAGAGAGGGAATCAAAGTGACCAGGGGCTATTATACCAAAAACATGTTTTAGATTTTAGAGAAAATGCTTGTAGAAAAGTCATGTGTTAATGTAATGATATATTATACATAATAACTATTAAAAATTAAAAAAATGCATTCATCCAAATAGTAAAAGTGCTACTCGCCCCTGGGAGTAAAGTATGAATAATTTTTCTCTTCTCTCCTAACAGAATTCTCTATTACTCAAATTATTCCCCAGAGAGAGTGTATGAAGTTTGTAACTGGGGAAAATGTTATCAATAAAAATGTAATGTTAAGGTTAAGTTCCTCGTATAATAAAGTAGCTCCCAAAATTCAGATTATGTATATATATGTGTGCTTCCAACATACACTTTGAATGTATAACACTGACTTATATGATTAGCAAGAAAGTATTAATTAGGGAGAAATGCTTACATGAGCACTAGTATTTCAGTAATCTATATTACATCTGTTCTACAATCTATTCTATACGTCTGTTCTATAGTCTATAGAACAGACGTAACATAGATTGACATAATTTTCATAATAATTAGGTTTGAAACTAGTAAACAGAAAGCTGTTGGGGTAATATTTATGAGTAAAAATATTACATACTGTAAAAGATAAGGGAAAGGGAGGAAAACAGCATTTTACGCTCTTGGCCTACAAATATCCTTTACCTTCCCTCACGTGTTATACACTGAATGAAGCAAGCTCATTTTCATCTTCATTCCTTACTAAGGCTTTTCCCTCACATCCTCCCTCCTTCTTTTTCTTGGGAAAATCCAAACTATTCTTTAAAAAACAAAAGAGGGGGAGGGGGCGCACTCATTGTACAGTGCACCAGGGAAACACAAGAGCCAAAATCTAGCCCCAGTTCTTCAAAGACATGAGAGACTGCACCAGCTTGAAGGCTCAAGGGAGCTCAAAGGTACCCTGGTTCTCATTTGCATAAAGGCACTAAATGAGA